AAATTGGGAATAGGTCAAGGTTTTCTAGGTTGGACATTAACCCCTGAGCTGCTGAGACTCAATGCCACGTGAGGGTGGGTTAAAATCTCCAAAAACTAGTAGCCGCAGAGACTCCATCACCAATTCAGGCATGGAATCAAGCAGCTCAGGCAAGGATGTCTCTGAGCGGCATGGTAGAATAATAATAATAACCAGATGTGTGACTTTGTGCTGGAAGTGGGCTCTAGGGATCTGCTGGGTTTTTTACAACAACAAACCCGGCAGATCCCTAGAGCCCACTTCCAGCACAAAGTCACACATCTGGTTATTATTATTATTCTACCATGCCGCTCAGAGACATCCTTGCCTGAGCTGCTTGATTCCATGACTGAATTGGTGATGGAGTCTCTGCGGCTACTAGTTCTTGGAGATTTTAACCCACCCTCACGTGGCATTGAGTCTCAGCAGCTCAGGGGTTCATGGCCACCATAGCAACCCTGGACCTATTCCAAATTATTGAGACCAACTCAGTTTGGGGGAGTACATTGTGGCAATAAGAGTGGCAAAATATGCTTACTTTCCCCTTTTATTGCATCCACAGGTAGCTAGCCAGTAACCTTATTCAAGATGACCTGCTTTCTGTTATGGAGGCAGAAAAGTCTGGAAAATCACTCAGATCCACTCACAGCTGGACTCCAATTGGATGAATCCATATGAGTTGACTGAGGCACTGCCTTTTCCTGTCATCTGGGAGGTATTTGATCCATTAACTCCTGAAGACACAGCTGGGATCCTTGGAGTACTAACCCAGCCATCTGTCCTTTAGATCCAAGCCCCTGCTGTCTAGTTAAGATTGCCTGATATGTGGTGGGCAATGGACTGATTATGCTTCTCCTTCCAGAAGTCATTGCTGGACTCAAAGGTGCTAGACAATTTTTGTCCAATTTCCAATCTTCTCTTTTTAGTTTAGGTTGTTGTGAAGGTGGTCAGATTGCAGATTTAGAGGGCTCCAAAAATATATTTGCAGGCTGCACTGTAGCTATGAGATTGTATATTCTAATCTTTTTATTTGTAAAGGGACTGAATCATTGTGACTACAAGCTATCTCCACATTCTTCATTTTAGAAGCCTCGATTATATCCTTCTTAAGTTGCCTTTTCCCCCTTTTCACACAGATGCAATGAAATAAAATTCTATGTTCAGTTGGAAGTCCGTTCAGGATACAAATGAGTGATATCCTACAAGCACAAGTTAAAGAAAGCTGAAATAATACAGGAAACATTACTTACTCTCACTGGTTATTAGCAAAGGTAGTTGAGCACAGAACAGGAAGATAAGTAGAGAAGCCATCTTTTCCTCCTTAATGCAGAACAACTGGTGGATGAATGCACAGTTCACTTCCTCCTCTCTCCAACCTTTGATGTTTACTCAGAAACCAGAGACTAAATAAATAATATGCTTATACCTAATTTTGTACCTAGCTAGTATGATTCAAGCTCCCCGTTGAATAGTAGGAACTTGTAATACTGAGCACAAGTATGTAACCTATGGCCACCATGCCTTAGCCTTTGTGATAAAAAAGATCAGAAGAGTTAAAACAATATTGTACTCTTTCCAGTGGCAACATAAGGCTATGAAAGCTGGACACTGAGAAAGACAAAAAAGCGCTAAAAATTATGGATTTGGTTCAGGATTGGGTATTAGAATTGTAAATCAGAATTTGGTAATGCAGGGTACCTCCTCCCAATTCAGATGCCGGGGAAAGGTAGAACTGAGGAGAGAGGGAACTGGAAGATCTGGTTAGGAGAGGTTTAAAGAAAACATTTTTAAAAACCTCTCCATGTGTCTTGATTAATGGAAGGTTAAAGGTCCACCCACCTTTATTTGGAAGTGAAGCTGCATGAAGCTTTCAACCTTCAATCCTAGCCCTGAAGATAAATATGCTTAAGCTGAAGCACCAAGCAAAGATTGGGAAAGAAGGGCACTACCCCACTGCACCCTTAACTTGCCCCTGTCCTATGCTGATGCCAGCTGGGCCCTAAGCCAGTTTAAGAAAACTTTCTGCAGATTGGCGAGCTTTGGCACAGCTTGCCAGTTGTTTAGTCTAGATTGCCCACTACCACAGACTGCCACTGGACAATTCACCTGCATGCCAGGAATGCAACTGCCAACTGTTTTATGTGGGTGGGTCTTATTCAACATATATACTTTTTGAAAAACTTCACACTACCTGCCAATTGAAAGCATTAGAATGCACACATATGTACACACAGTAACTGGCTTTAAAAGAAAGGTTTCTTTCTTGCATGTTCCCAGCTGTGGTTCTCTAATATCTGCAACTATTCCTCTAGAAGCACTGCAGTAGCGTGATAGCTAGAACATTTGCTTTGCATGCTCAGGACTCTTGATTCACAATTGAGCAGAGGCAACTTTTTAACAATTGCTATTTTAGTGTCCCTAACCTATCCACTTTTTAAAAAGCTCAGTTCAGTTATACCATACGTTTTGCTGTCATTTGAGGGAGAAGGGTCCATGTACAATTTGCTATTTGTCTCCCCCCCCCCCCCCC